TTAAAGAAGTAGTTGAAGGATTTAATTGTAAGGAAATAACAAGTAAAGAGATGACAATTAAATTAATTGAAGTGGGGGAGTCTTTGCATAAATAAACCATTTACAAGGATTAATAAATATATGAAAAAAAAATTGGACTAAAGCATGAAACCATGGGTTAATTCCCACCAGGAACTCATTTTACCCAACAAATATGGGTTGGTGGGGGACATATGGGTCCCTCATCATGTGATAGGATTTAACACACCAAAAGGAAATTTTCTAGAGGAAGGCAGAGAAATTGACTTATAGCCAAGCTTCAGACTTGGGAAATTCCACCTGGTTTAAAGATGCATTGAACAGCTTTACTTTTTTTTCTTGACTAAACAAAAAAAAAAGGAGAAGGAGAGAAAAGAATCGGATATCTGTTGTGAAGAAAGTGGGCATATTCTATTCTCATAGGAGAATCCGCCCCAATGCCAGCCTTGGCTCTAGCTATCAACCTTTAAACTCGAGTTTCTTGGCCATTGAAGAGTATCAAATCTGCATCTAAATCACTTCCTGAGTTAAGAAAATAAAAGAGGTAAAGGGGAGGTTGAAGGAAGGAGAATGGCGGCTAAGCTCCCAGTTAAAAAGAATGAGTCTTAATTTGCTCATTTAGGCACCAACTAGAGCATATCTAACCATTTTTGAAGGGTTCCCAAATTATATTTCAAGGCTGGAAATTTATTGTATAGGTAAGAAGTTCTTTCATGTGGGCATTAGATCCAAGTTCAAAAGGTTAATGCCATTTGAAATTCTTTATGGCAGATTTGATATTGAGGCTTGAAAGATGCTGGAAGTATAGTTTTGGAAGGGCTAAATCATCAACTACGGTGAGTGCTTGGGCTTATCTCTGGGTGATTTATATTAATTGGCTATAGATTGAGTAGGGAAGCCTTGATAGTATGGATTACAATGTGATATATGAATGCTGCAGCAAAGTTTGAGAAACAAAAATTTAATTGAACGTTGGGTACAAATTCTATTGCTTTTGTGTATTATTAATGTTAGAAAAATATTGATGAATGCCAAATATGGGTTGTTAGGGACTGTTGAAATGGCACTTTCATAGCTGAAAATTTCACAAAATTTGAGGCATTGAACCCATGGAAGCTAGGATAATGATGCTAGTTTGAAAAATGCAAACTTTGTGGCAAAGTTGAAATGAAATTAAGCTAAGACTCAAAGGATAAGTATTGAAGAGAAATCCCAACAATTGAGGCGAGTGGGTGCTAAATTTCAAAGTTATATTCCTATAAATAATACATATGTTATATTTGATAGTTGACGAAATTGTGGAAAGCATGAGCTGGTAGAAGGCCCTAGGTTGTTCGTGATTGTAACAAGAATTTCAAATCCGTTTTTCTCTATATCACGTATAAGTATATATTTACATGTTTTTTTTATTATGGGGAAACAAACGTTTGACTGATTTTTCGCTTCAAAATCATGCCT